GGGCTCTCAGCCTGTCCTGTCACAGAGATGCTCCAGCCCCTCAGCAGCTTCGCAGACCTATAGATCTAAGAGGACACCCTCCTGATCTGGCAGCAACAGGGACCTGCCACTGCTGGCTGAGGGAACTGGGTTAGATTTACACAGTGAAAACTTTCCCCCACTGCTCCTCTGTGAGCCTGGGAACAAAGGCAGCCCGGGGACAAACCAGACTGAGCCCCACTGGCACTGCCATCTGAGGGAGAGCCAAAACCAGGGCCCCTGGAGCGAGCCCCAGGCTCACAGTGGCTGTCTGAGGGCCGCAGCTCCGTGTGCTACCCTCAGCTGGGACCAGTGAAACAGATTTATCCGTGATGCCCTGGACCAGCTGCCAGATGGCACATAAAAATCTCCAGTGCCTCGATTCACAGCTCTGCCAGGCGGGGGGTGAACGGGGAAATCAGCCCCCTGCCTCCCTTGGTGGCATTCAGAGCGGCGAGCACGTGACACAACCTTGCTCTCCACCCCTCTCGAGGGAAGGAGAAAGAAAAGCATATGGATAAAAGGAAGGATTGCCTGTCAGGAGTGCCAGGGCTAGGATGTGGCACTGGGAAATGCCCTGGCAGTTATCAGTACCTCGGTTGCCTCCTCTGAAATAATGAGAATTCATATAATCACGTATTAATCACAGCTCAGGCAGCTAATACTGCCGAGCTGGAAGTCACAGAAACATTGTTTTAAGCAAGAGCAAAGGCAGAGCAGATATTAAAAATGGATTTTAATCCAAGCAGGCTCTCCCTGGAATGACTTTTCATCGTTTCCTCATCAGTGGGGGAAGCCTTACACTGGCACCTGCAATTTGTGCCTCTCCTCCAGCTCCTTTTTAAACTCAACGACTTGTGTCAGTCGAGTTGGCTGGTGAACAGGTTCAAAACATGCCAAATTCAAGTTAAAAAAGAAAAACGAAGCATGCAAGAAGCATTTTTAATATTTTACAATTAAAATAATGTCTTTAAATTTAGGATCTGGTTTGGAAATAATTTCTGGAGCTTCCTTCCAGGAACTGCAAGGAAGAGATGGGGGTTTAGCTTACCAAAGTTTTGTTTCAGTAACGCTTTGTTGGAAAACATGTTCCACAACATCATACCTCCTCCTCTCGAGTCTGGATCGCTGCTGCCAGTTCTGCCTGTAAAGCTGTGATGGTTTCAGTGTTCTGCTTTATCTGGAGGGAGATGTCTTCTGTGAGCTGGATCTTTTTTTCCTCTTCCACAGGACTAGTCAGGAGTCTTTCAAGCATGAAGTCCCTGAACTCCCCAAAGGCTTTGATAAACCTTTCAGCTGGTGACTCTGTCCCCCAGGCTTCGGACTTCAGGGCCTGGCAAAGAGAAGGGTTGGCCAGTAGGAGTCTCAGGACATTTCTAGCAGAACGTTTCAGGCGCTGCTGGAGCAAGCAGAGGCAGTGCTGTTGTTCCTCAGCTCTCACTGTGGTCCCTTCTCCAGAGCTGGCGAGCAGGTGCTCCATTTCGTTTGCAAGCTCCTGGTGCTCAGCCAGGCTCTTTGTGATCTCAGGTCCCAGCAAACCAGCAAACCTGTCCGGAGAGTCGATAACACGTGGGATCAAACTGCTCATCTCCAGCTTGGCAATCGTCTTGTCCAAGACAGTTACGACTCTTTCCATCTCCATGCTATCAGGTTTTAACCAGCACGGATCTAACATCTTTGTGGTGTCTACTGTGGTCGCTGCCTTCTCTGGAGTTGCCATGCCCTTCACCAAGGGCTTGTTTCTTTGCTTCACAGCCTGAGATGGTATTTGGAGCACAGCTGGATCCACTGTTGCCATGGCTTCAGTTAAACACTTGTGAGTTGAGTACTTTGAGGTCTAGGAAGGACACAACATCTGTTACACAAGGTGAGACTCAGCCAGAGAACATCTCTGCTGCATCTATCTCATATTCTTCTTTCTCAGACTTTATCTCTAAAATGAAAATATGGTGACAGCATTAGACAAATAATGTAGTTTGGGAAATCGTGGGAGTTCTAAATGACACCAGTGCTCCCCCTGGGTCTGGGCACAGGCTCAGGACGTGGGGTCTTGTGTCTGGGCTCCACCCCAGAGAGGCTGTCGAACACCCGCGGGAAGGGAGGAGAGTAAAGGACCTCTGGCTTTGAAGGGCAGTAGGGGAAAGCTCCCAACTCCCGAGCAGCGGCTGCGGAGGAGGGCACACACCGCAGCTCCGCCATCCCAGGAGCGCAGGGCAGGGCTGTGAAACACCCACCTCCGTCCTTCCAGGCCTGGCACTGCCAGAGGGGCGAGGTGGGAGCGGAGATCTGGGTGCCCGGGAGGGGCTGCGCCGGCGAGGACAAGGGGAGGGGGCCGTGTGGGGAGGCTGGCAGGGAGAAAAGGGTCCTCTCGGGGCGGGTCTGGGGGCGGCGAGGTGCCGGGAGAACCCGGGGATCCCCTGGTTGTAGGAGAGCCAGAGTCTGAGAG